TATACCTACCTACATCCTTCTATCTGCGTACTTACACTCACATACCTACCTATATCCTTCTATCTGCGTACTTGCACTCACATACCGACCTACATCCTTCTATCTGCATACTTCCACTCGCATACCTACCTACATCCTTCTCTCTGCGTACTAACACTCACATACCTACCTACATCCTTCTATCTACATACTTCCACTCGCATACCTCCCTACATCCTTCTATCTGCGTACTTACACTCGCATACCTCCATGCCCACACCCGCAAATGTCGTATGTAGAGGATGATGGGGAGGGTGAGATACCCGTGTACAGCTTAGGTCAGGGCATGATCGAGTACGGCCTGAGCGAGGATGAGAAGGAAGAAGACCAACACACGGAGGGATATAAAAACAGGAGAATCCGGTTCCCACGCATCCTGAGTTACTTCGAGGGGGTTAAGAATGGTAGGTATATGTGTGTGCTGTATACAGGAATGGTAGGTATATGTGTGTGCTGTATACAAGAATGGTAGGTATATGTGTGTGCTGTATACAGGAATGGTAGGCATATGTGTGTGCTGTATACAGGAATGGTAGGTATATATGTGTGCTGTATACAAGAATGGTAGGTATATGTGTGTACTGTATACAAGAATGGTAGGTATATGTGTGTGCTGTATACAAGAATGGTAGGATGTGTGTGCTGTATACAAGAATAGTAGGTATATGTGTCTGCTGTATACAAGCTCCGCATGGGTCAACCACACACCTGGGCTAGTCGGGTCGGTAGGGCTGGATTGCACCTGTTTCTCTGTGGTACAGGATATTACTAGTCAACCGATACCCCGGCTGTTATGTACACTTGCATACCGGGTACGTGTCTATTCTCTAGCCGCGTGGGCGTCCAAGTGGGCGATGACCCGTCGCACCCATAGGACTTTTTAAAGGACTCTATTAAGAGGTTGCTAGGTGCCTTTTAGGGTTTTAAGGTTTTAGGGTTTTAAGGTTTTAGGGTTTTAGGGTTTTAGGGGTTGCCTTTGCCTGGGCATTTATTGCCCCATCTTTCGTATGTAGGCATGTGTCGAGGGTCTAGTTGCAAGGGCGGGTGTCTGTGGTAGCGTTGACCCGGCACTTGTATGAGTGATCGTTTGCGACTGTTTAATCATATTAATGGGGCTCTTCCTCCATTCGTGGTGACTAATTGTATCCGTGGTCTTCTAGTTGTATAAACGGGGTTATCAATGGGGTTTCTATTTATATCCCCGTGTTTCCAAATACATACCCGCGGGTTTGTCAATATATTCCTTGGTGTACTGCTAGTATCCGTCGGGTTGGGGTTGGGTTTGGGTTTGGGTTTGGGTTTGGGTTTAATTCCGGCCACCTCTCCAACCGCAGGCGATCTCGAGGCCGTTATAGATTATATGGAGAGAGACGGCAAGATGGTACGGGACATCAACTTACCCGACGCCAAAGGCTTCTCGGCACTACACACAGCCGCCCAGTTGGGCTATACTAATATTGTGGTATACCTTCTGGATAGGGGAGCCGATGTTAATATCACGAACTTCGAGAATTGTACGCCCCTCCACTACGCCGTGATAGAGGTATGGTTTGCACGCAGTCTGTGGATGGCATGTTGATCACACACGCAGACAAAATGGACACAGATATAAACACACACAGACATAAACATACAGACACACTTACACACACACACACACACACACACACACACACACACACACACACACACACACACACACACACACACACACACACACACACACAC